CATCAATGGACTAAAGCATGGCAACAGTAGTGAGGTTGGCCCAGGATCGGGCAGTGTTTTGTTCTGCTGTGCATAGGGTCGCTGTGATTCAGTACCGACTCGATGGCACCTAAAAACAAGAACAAGGGTTGGTTTAAGGAGCTCTGGTAGTGTAGTGGTTACGAATTGGGCTGTGAACCACAAGGTCAGCAGTTGGAAACTACCAGCTGTTTCACAGGAGAAAGATGAGGTTTCTACTCCCGTAAAGACTTACAGCCTTGGAAACCATTGTACAGGGTCACTGTGAGTTGGAACCCACTCTATGGCACATAATCACCACCATACCAAGGGTTGGTTTGAACCACAAAGTTGAAGATTCAAACTCACTAGCCACTCTTTGGAAACCCAATACTGGGTCGCTATGAGTCAGAACACTTAACAGCTAGTCCCTGGGTGACAATCTTTCAAAAGGTTGTTGTTGTGTGTCACTGAGTCAGGTACGACCCATAGCGACCCAGAACAGGGTTTCCGAGGAGTGGCTGGTGAGCTTGAACCGCCGACCTTGTGGTTCAAGCTGACTTTGCAGTCCAGCACATTAACCCACAATGCCACAGCTTTGAAAACTCTATGGAGCAGTTCTACTCTGCACACATGAGGTTGCCATGAGTTGGAAGTGACTTGGTGGCAACTAACAACGCCTCCCAGCTCTTGTTCTTTCCTCCACCTCCAATGTACATTTACAGTAAGTTCGTTATGTAGCAGCAAGAGCAATTTCTTTAAAATGGAGCTCAGATGACTGTTGAAACTATGTAGGCAGTGATTCCCCATTTCCCTCAGAAAGAGCTAACATCCTTATAATGGCTGATCAGACCCTACAACACTGATCTCCATTTATGTCTTTGTCTTACCTTCTACTTTCAGCTCAAGCTCTTCTGGCCTCCTCACCATTCCCTTGATCCCACCAAACATTCTCATCTCAGATCTCCACACCTGTTATTCCCTCTACCTGGAAAATTCTTTTCCCAAGCTGCTTGACCTTCTCCCTCATTACCTTCAGGTAGGTCTTGGCTCAAATGTCACTCAGTGAAGCTTTTACTGATCATTCCTGTTTTTTTCCATCACTTCATTATCTCACTACATAGTCTAGTCTTGGCCCCATTTAGAATGTAAACACCATGAGAATAAGGCTATTACTGCTTTGTACAGTATCTCTAGCACTGTAAGGTGCTCAATAAACATATGAATGAAGAGATAGATGACTTGCTAGCTTACTGAAATATTCTGAGGCCAGAGGGTGCTGGTTTTTTTCCATGCTCCGTAAGGATGCACTGTTGCCAGTCATTATTTACTTTATTCCTCAAGGAATAGTGGTTCTGGTAGAGTCCTGGTTTAAAAATCTTTTTCATGGAATTGAAATGAAAAATTGATCATTTACAGTTGTCATAATATTGTTAGTTTTCCACAAACTATGTTTCTTTTACTCTATTTTCTGCCAGCTCTTGATCTTGTTTCTCTGCTCACTGTCCTTACAGTTAGCAGTTCAGTGTTTATCCTACAGCTCCACACCAAGACTCCATACGCACTGGACTGCTAACCACAAGGCCGGCAGCTCAGATCCACCAGCTTGGTGTGGCACCATAGGATAAGCATTCAACCTCAAGGTCTGTTTCAGCTGCAAGGTTGGTGGTTCAAACTCTCCAGCTGCTCCTCATAGACCCTATACAGGGTAGCTATGAGTGGGAACATACTCCACCCTACTTACCAGTAGGTAATAATTAGGAGAAATATGGGGAGTCGGCTTTCGTACATTTACAGCCTTGGAAATTCTATGGGGTAGTTCGTCCTAAAAGGTCCTTATGAATCAACCACCAACGGATAGCAAGGATTTTTGTGGTTATTAGATAATTATTTTAGGGTGGCACTGTGTGGGCTAATGCGTCAGACAGCAAAGTCAGTGGTTCAAGCTCACCAGCTGCTCACTATGGGTGGGAATAGACTCCAAGGCACTGAACAACAACAAAAATTATTTTTGGAGTCCTGGTGTGAATCTGTAGGATAATCACTGTACCACAAGATAGGTTTGAACCGCAAAGTCGGCAGTTCAAATTCAACCAGTTGCTCCTCGGAAATCCTATACAGGAACTTAACGTTATTTTTAGAGTCTGGAGTTTTAAGACTTTATAAAAGTCACCAATCACGTTCATGTCAATCATTCTACAGAGATCTCCTAGGTTTCAGTGATTGTTTTGTTGAGGAGCGGCGAGTTGTGTCTATTTTCAAGAGTTTTGGGGGTGTGGGAGTTTGCTTGCTCTGCATACGGAAGGAATTCTAGAGGCTGCTATTGCACCACCCACCCCACGCACCCCTTACTTGCAGAAACCTTTGCCCCCTCTCCCCCCCCCCCCCAAGTAAGGGCGCTTCATAGGGCAGCCACCAATTCCAAATCCAGCTGCTTGACACCTATTGTCCCCATTTAGGCGTCAAGCGACTTCGCCTGAAGGTCCCTAGCTTCGATTTCACTAAAAAATCGAGGCCTTGTTCCTTCAGCCTACACGGGGCCATCTCGACGTGACAGGAGCTGCACAGCCCACCAGAGTAGGGGATTTGGGACAGGCGGGAAGGAAGGCAGGTGGCTTGCTCCTGACAGGCGTTCGCGCCGGGCAGCCCAGGCGACAGCGAAGGCCCCCGGCAGCTGCTTCTCCCGCCCCCTCCGCCTTAGAAGGCTGGCTAAGTCCCTCCCGCTCCGGGCTCTCCGCCTCACTAGCAGCGGCTCTCCGTGCAGCGGGGACGGGGTGAAGCGGCCTGCGCCCACGGAGCGCACACCACAGCCCAGAACGCACCGCCACCCTTGCTCCCTCAGCCGCCCACTCGGAAACTCCTGCGGCTTCTGCTCGCGCACGGTGAGCGCCACCCCGAAGCGAGGCGCTGAAAGGGAAGAGGGCCGCTGCGCCCGAGTGTCCTTTACCTCAAGATCGACTGGAGCTTCGCGAGGGGCTTGCTCCCCAAGTTTCCCTCCCCCAACCCCCCATCGTTTCCATTCCTCTTCTCTGCCTCTGAGCCCCGACCTCTTCCTTCCCTCCCTTCCGCGGAAGGCGGCAGTCCCCGGCCCGCACGGCGGGGACCGTTGCACTAGCCGTTGGCAGTCGGCGCCACGAGTCCCCGCCCCCGGCGCGAGCCTGGAAGCCCCCGGGCGGGGGGAGGGGGGCGCCCGGCTCTTCCTGTCTTCGCGGCGCGCGCCGCCCCCTCCGCCATCCGCTCGCTCGCGCAGCCTCCCGCCCGCTGCGCGTTTTGTCCCGCGTCTCGCCCCGTCCGTCTCCTGACTCGCCGCTCTTGTCTTTCCTCCCGCTTTTTCTCTTTTCACCCTATCTAAAGATGCCCTCGGCCACCAGCCACAGCGGAAGCGGCAGCAAGTCATCGGGACCGCCACCCCCGGCGGGGTCCTCCGGGAGTGAGGCGGGGGCCGGGGCAGCGGCGCCGGCTTCTCAGCACCCCGCTACCGGCACAGGCGCCGTCCAGACCGAGGCCATGAAGCAGATTCTCGGGGTGATCGACAAGAAACTTCGGAATCTGGAAAAGAAAAAGGTGCCGGCGTTGGCGGGGAAGGGAGGGGTAGACGCGGCCGGACCGGGGCGCACCCGCTGGCGGGCAGGGCCCACCTCGGTCGCCTTCGCTCTGGGTCCCTCTGGCTCGTCGCCACCGTCTAGAGCTTCGAGCCCAGAAACGGCCTCCTCGGGGGAGTGCTTGTCACCTGACCCGGAGGCGGCGGTCCCCGAGGCCTGTTACTCCTCCCGCCCCGGTCCTGCAGGCGGCCTGTGGGTGGGGGCGCTTTACCGGGCTCCCCGGGGACCGTGGCCGTTACCGAGGCCGGCGTGGACGAGTGGCCTGGGGCTCGGAATCCGACTTGCTCCCGCGGCCCCCATCTCGTGGGCTCCGCGACGTTTCTCTTTGTCTCAATTGTCTAGGTGCCCCCTGAGCCTTCCGCTCCACTGAAGCCGGAGATGGATTTCTGCTGCGACCCCCACCTAACCGGGGGGCTTTGGGCTGGGGCGGGAGGAGAGGGTCGTGGCGGAGAGCCGGGTGGGTGGGGGCCGGGGAGACGGGGGCGAAGGCTAGGGCTCGGGGCACATGGAGAGGGCGGCTAACATGGCGGCGGCTGCAGGGAGAGGGCCGCGCTGTACAGGAGCTGCATTGTGAGCACAAAGCGCCAGCCGGGGGGAGGGCTGAGGCCGGCGGCCGCCCCGGGCTCCCGCCGCCCCGCCCCCCGCCACACCCACGGTACTTGGGACCCGTCTGCTTGGACACCCCGTGCGGTGAAGCTACCGGCGCCCTGCTGCCTTAGATTTAGCCCTGGACCCTGTACCCTCTGAGACGTGTGTGCTCGCGTGTGGGGATGGGTGAGTGGGTGTGTGTATGGGTGGAGAGAGACTGGGACCGAGTGAGTAAATCTACCTTAAGTAAGATTGGATGGCACAGAAAAATGAAGAGATAAAACTATTATGTTAACTTTTTCCTTAAAGAAAATCACTCCGGTAAGATAACTGATGCTTGTTTGCCTCTCGTACAGTGTATTTATTGTAACATCTTGAATTTTGAAGACGTCAAAATGTAAAATAATTCGTTTAGCTTGCTGCCTAATAATGTTACTTAAGATGTGGAGTTAGTGTTCCTAGGCCTAAAATTTGGTTTATGGGAAATAGTTTGTTATAATGTTTGTTTGTTTTTTGTTACAGATTTAGGTGTTTGAAGAGTTTTAAGACATTTACATTTGGCCAGTCCTTTATTTTAATATATTTACATGTTTTATTATAAATGATAGTTTTATCAATATCAGTAAGTCCACAAAAGAATTTTAAACGCAAAATAGTAGCTTCAGTCATGCAGAGTATGCGCACCCAAGGCCAGTATTTTGAGTCTGTCTTGTGATTTAGTTTTTGCTTATTTACCCTTTTGTAATTTAGACTAGATTGGATATTCAGAATCCCTCTTTTAGTGCAGTAAGCAGTTCCAAATCAGTTTGGTTGGTGTTTGAGTACTTTAATTTTCAAAATTTCTAGGCAAACCTTTGTTTTCTTCTGGATAAGAATCAAAAGGTAAATGTTAATGTATTTTGAGTGTAGACATTTTACTGTAGCTGTTTGCATTTTAATGCCAAAAAAGGAACTTCTTCATAAGGGCACTGATTTGTAGCTGATTTGTGAGAGATGACTTACATTCCAGCGTTCAGTTCATGTGTATCTGGGACAAAAATGTCAGTTTAGCTTAAACTGTGAATGTTCACTTGTCTGTATTACTATATATTAATAGAAAGTCATTCATTTATTATTACATAGAGTGTAGATTGACTGAGAATAAGATGCACAAAGTAACAAATGTATTTGCTGTCTCATTTTTCTGTCTTGTCAGTGTTTTGGGTGCTAAGATGATGGGAAAGGTCAAGTGGGGTTATTAAAACTATAGCTTTTACTTCTTGGGAGACTAAAGGCATTTGAATTTTCCTGTAGTTTAATCACATTTAGTTTCAAGTTGAGATTTTTTTTTTTTTTCAGTATGCAGATCTAATATGAAAAGATTTAATTGATTGATTTTTCAGTAGTCAGTAAGCATTTCTAATGTAAATAAAATTTATGTAACTAAAAAGTTATGTTGAACTTTTTTAGAAGCATGAATGGAGTAAAAGATGCAGTCTACCACTGGATTTCTTTTTCCTAAAGTTTAACATTTGAGCTATGTTTCAGTTCTGAACTATTTAAATTGGAACCTTCTGACTTAAAGGCCTTTCCATGGATGCTGAAATTAATTATCTTGCCAAAAATTACTAGTTAGATATGTAGATATGCAGTATCACTTATATTAAGAACTAAATAAAGCAAGTTTATTGCATTTTATGTTAGTTAATTATTTGCTTTCCCCCCTCCCCCCATAATTTGGACTGTTAGAGGAAAGCTAATCATTTATCAAGTGAGAATGCATGTTTAACATTGAACTGTCCTACTTAATGCAAAATTAAGTGGGTTGATGGTTTTTGAAGTTTGTACTTCTAAAGACTACATAAGTATTTGGCAAAGAGAAATGCTTTTTGTTACAGTAAAGATAAGCCACTTAATAAGTCTTAACTATGATTAAAATACAAATACTGAATTGAGTGATTACCTAGTTTGCGTCATTAACTGGTACAGAATTAGACCCTAGGGCTACACAAGATCATTGTTTGAAAACTAAGCTAAATTTTATCTGAAAAGAGACTATTTCACATTTTAAAAGATAATCAGTTTTGATGTAGAATAAGAAATGTCTTTAATAAGATGTAAAATTTCTGTATACATGGCATGAATATTACAGGTTTTGACTATGGTGACTTTGGTTGGTAAAAGATTAGCAGATAGTCTCTTCCTTAAAAAAGCTAAACAGCCTGACAACTTTACAACTAATATGTAACCAGAATTGCCAAAAGTGTAGTACTTTTCATACTAATCCTGAAAGTTCTTATGTTGTTTATATCTTTTGCTTAATGTTGTTCTGGAAAAGGATGCTGTCATTGTGAGAGAGGTTAACGTGTCTTCTTTCCAGAGCATTGCAGTACTGTGCCTTGACTTAGGATTTTCAATGTAGGCTTTGTATAGAATTTGTGTTAAAATTTATGAAATAAAATAGTCTTAATATTTAACTATTTTATAAAAGTAAATCTTTCCTTGGGCTAACATCTGAAGGTTTTTCTTGACATTTAAGATCTCTGATACATTAGCTTTTCTGTTGGCTGCAAGAACTATTTCTCTGCAATGCAGAGGACAAGATTACTTTGTTTTGCATTCACCTCGTCATGGGAAGAAACTATAATGCTAAATTTGTTTTCCTTTGCTGTGTGTGTGTCATAGAGAAGCATTTAAAATCTGAATTTAATAAGGTGGTAAAGCTGTGAATTATAAAGGTTAATTCCTTCATGAGAATCTGGGCACTTTTCTGAGGTGAGAGTAAAATCTTTTAAGCATTAAAAGGAGAGGAGATGTAATTTAGCTTTGTTAAATTGCCTTACTATAATTAGCTCCTATCTTCCATTTGAATTGTTTTTGTTATGGAGTTGGTTCTGACCCATTGCGACCCTGTGTAGGGTTTTCAAGGAGTGACTGGTGAGCTTGAACTGCTGACTTTGCGGTTCAATCCTACCTTTGCAGTCCAGTGCATTAACACAGCACCACACCAGGATCTCGTTTGAATTAGTGATTTGAAAGTGCACAATTTTCCATAATCTTATAAATGTCTAAGTTGACATTTCAGACTAGATGAAGGTTGGTTCTGTTACTGTTTGTAAAATGAATACTTTTATTTACAAAAAAGTTTTACAGTTTTATCATGGCCTTAATTTTATTACCATAGTGTTCAAGAGTCTAAGGCTTTTAAGAGCTTAGAGGCGAGGCATCTAAGAATTTAGTACAATTCATTTTACAGAAGAGGGAATTGATATGCTCATGGAGTAATCATGCAGGCTGAATGAGTGATAGCCAAGGTCTATGGGAATAATTCAGATTTTTAGTGTTCTGTAATGTGAATGTGTAATATTTCATTTTTAAGCTGATCATGTAGAACCAAGTAAAACTTTTTGCTTCAAACCCTCAATTTTAGTTTCTCTTTTAAAATGCTGACAACAAAAGAAAAAGGTCTTCAGTGCTTCCTTGTTAGACCGTTATCAATGTCTCATTGTTAAACTTTGTGATTATAGACTGTCTGGATTATGGTTCTGAGAATAGCTGTATAGAAAAAGTCTCATATTCTTATCAGGTCTCTTTGGAACACCCATATTTTTTTAATGAAATAAAATTTAGTTTAGGAATCCTGGTGTGGTGCTGTGGGTTAATGTGCCAGACTGCAAAGTCATTTGAACTACAAGGTTGGCAGTTCAAGCTCACCAGCTGCTCCTTGGAAATCCCATACAGGGTCGCTATGGGTCTGAATCGACTCAACAGCACTCAACAACAACAAAAAGTTTAGTATGTCATATTGCTGACCTTATATAGGGTTTCCAAAGAGCGGCTGGTGGGTTTGAACTGCCACACAAGCTAGAGAATTTTGGGAAGAACTAACAATAAAGAAGTACGAGGTGTGACAAGCTTTCCATCTGAAGTTTTGTATTCCAAGCTGCGGGATTATTAGTAATTGATTTCTTTTTCTGGGGGTGGGGATGGGGAGGGAATCAATGAGAAGGAGGGGAATCCAGAGAACTTCAGCTAAAGTTGGATCTATACAGTTCTTGAGTTGAAACACAGTAAGTCCTGCTGTTGGATGTAAAACCACGGGTGAAAGAAGCATTGCTGGGCAGAGTTCAGAATTGACAATGAGGAAAAGGGAAGATTGTGATTCTCCAGCAAGCTCATTGAAAGTAGTGTTTGCTCTCTCTAACTTCCTATATAAATGGTCATATGTACTTACGGCCATTTTTATATTGCTTTATGTTTTTACCTGAAAACGTATTTTAGGCATATTCTATGGCCTTTTACACGGTATATGCCAAGTACCTTGCTAGTTGGACTAAATTAAGTAGAAATATTGGGAACTTCACAACAAAACTCTGTTAAATGAATTAATTAATT